TTAAGCACCAAACGCGGGTGCTTTGTAGCAACGCGTCACTGTTTTTCCAGTGGAATTTTAGGCATGAAAAGTGGTTCTTTCCTGCTGAAGTTGTGCAGGGCTCAACAATAAGGACTGCCCGATTGCCACTATTGCCCGGGGCAAGTACAATGCTTTATGGGGCTGATCGCACATCCATCATGGACAAAACTGGCCTCTCCCTGCAGTCAGTCAACAGTGCAGGATGGCTGGGCATCTTGATCTGCTTTTACCAGCTTGACAACAACTGTGAATATAAGAAACCAGAAGAGTCCGATGGGCCAAGTGGTAAAACAGAATTACAAACATTGTTTTTCCAGAGCTGATGGTGGAAGTAGCTAGGGAGTGAGCCATCTTGCTGCTTCCTCATCTCTGTTGAGAGTTCACTTAAGTTAACGAGCTGAAGCTCAAGCGAGCGTTTCAGTTGTCCTGGAAACAGGAGTTTAGTTGGGTGATGTTACAGGATGTGGGCAAAATACAGATTAAACATAAGTCTTTGTTGTTATTTGATAAATAAAAAAAAATTAAGGTAATTTTTTGGCGTTTTTGCCTTTGTTAGATAAGAAAGTGTAGCGTGAAATAGGAAGAGAGGGGATGACATACAGCAAAGGGCCAGAGTGGCTGCTGTGACAAGAACATAGCCTTTGTACACGGGGCGCCTGCTGTACTGGCTGAGCTAGTGGGCGCCCTGAGAATACAAAAACTGTGTATGGGGCAAGTCAAAACTGACTTCCAGCAAGTAGATTTCTGACCCACCTGTTCGACTGGGCAAATGAAGAAAACCCATTAACATTAAACCCTGTTGTAACACAGAAAGCGGAGGATTTTTCCCCAGTCATCGCTGCTTTTCCTGCAGCAGGACTGCGCCCTCCAAATCAGGTATGTTAAGGCAAAAAAATTATCTTTTCCCAAATGTAAATTTGTGCCTAACAACAGCAGTAACTAACAGGAAAGTTGGGAGGAGATTTAAATGACAGTTGGGAGAAAGAAAGAAAGAAAGAAAGAAAGAAAGAAAGAAAGAATAAGCATCATTTTTTCTATTGTTGGAGGCCATTTTTTTTTACTATTTTCTAATATTTTCTGGGACAAACGATCGATCTATAATGAATATAATGACTTGTTGCTGCCCCTAACCATGTCCTCATGTCCCTCCCCCTCCCAGCCAATCACCCAATCACTGAGTCTGAAATAACCTCTACATGTCTCCTGTTGATTTTCACCAGTCGGCCTACTTTGAGTCATTCAGAGATTTTCATTTCAAAAGGACCACTTGGTTTACTCTGCAGTCTCCTCTCCTCCACGCCTTTTCTCTCATCATTTCACCTCCTGTGCTCTACTTCCTCCCCTCGACTCCTCCGGTCCTCCACCTCCCCCCATCTCCTCTCCTCCTCTCTGCACAACCCCTGTCTTTCCAAAAATCCTTCGTCCTCTCAATTAGATTTTCCCTTTAATTATTCAGCTCCAGACTCTGGTCCACAGCTGCTTACAATAACTCAAAAAAGTCAACACATTTTCTAAATCCCAAAGTCCCAAGTGGGCTTGTAAACAATAAATGCAACAGTCAACAATGTAAGGCTTTGTTTCTCCTCTCCTTGTTCTCCCACACTCTCTCCACGTCTCTGTCTCCCTCCTGTTCGGTCTCTCTCTGCCCCTCTGCAGCGTGTTTTCATTTCCATCTATGATGGAATGTAAATACTGCAACTGACTGACCACTGCAGCAGGCACACGACCTCAACATGAATCTCAACGAGCTCATGAGTCGTATGAGTTTAAGAGAAGGTTTATGTGATCGTACAGGCTCCACAAGTCTCCACAAGAGCCAAAGGAAAACATCAAGTGGTGATTCTTGAGGATCCTGAGGGGGGTTGTGGTGTGTGTGCGTGTGTGTGCGTGTGTGTGTGTGTGTGTGTGTGTGTGTGGTGCAGAGAGGCTGTTATTCATGTAATTAGACTCAGAGTTAGGGTCAGGTTAAAAGGGACAGTTCACCCAAAAACCAAAAATACACATTTTGTCTCCTCTTAGCTGCAGTGCTATTGATCAGTCTCGATTGTTGTGAGACTGGTGTGAGCTGCAGAGTGTGCAGAAAGAAGTGTGAATGTTTTCATGGACCAGAGCAGTGGCAGTGCCCCTCCCACTGCCCCCTGGTGAAAATAATTGGTCGCCAACATAGCTGTCTTTAACAGGCTGCAGCATGCTCATTTTTTAAGCTAACGTGAACGTAGTGGTATCTTGTGAAAGTAGACAACCGAAGGCATCCACTGGTAACCATGTTAACCTCTGAGAATTCCTATGGCCCGTCCAAAGTCCCAGCTGCTATGTTTAAGTTAAGCAGTTACTCTGAGAAGCAAAGAGTCTTGTGATCTGATTGATGCAAACCATTTCAAGGTACGATCACAACAGCGCCTCCGTCAGACCAAAAATCAAACCCTTGAGCTACGAAACTGACTGACCGCTGTTGCATCATTTTAAATGAGCAGACTGCATGTACTCAAAAGGGCTGAACAACAGATTTTAAACAGGCTCAGCGTAACTTCAGTCACAAGACTTTCTTATCTCCTCTAGTTATCCAATCAAACTTTGCCATGATTCTCTATCAGCCAATCAGAATGCCACTGCAAAATTTAAAATCTGCTCTCTCTTCTGATGCTGTCAGCCGCCATTTTAGGCAGAAGTGGTGCACCTCCTCCACCCCGTTCACCCTCAGAGTCCAGCACAGGCACAACAAAGGCTCATTGCTCTACTCATCCAGATCATCAGCAATTCTCCATCTTCATCTCATCTCACCACCTCTACCACCACCAGCATCTAGACCCCAGGGAAGAGGTTCCCTATTCGGCTATGGATTCATCACCCTCCTTAAATCGTACCATCTCTACAGGGTCTAAAATCTTACGTGCACATGTTCATAAATATCCTTTTTACTATGAAAAACGAGTCTCTCCTAATTGAATTTACATTGGGTAAGCCTTAGAAAGGCATTTTAGGCTAATTTTTCAGTAATGGTACAGTAAGAGGTTAATATGCAGCATGCTATGCCAACTGACATAGCTTGTCAGGAAGGGGGCTAAATAACACTATAAATTTAGGCTAACTTCTGGCAAAGGAACAACTGGCACATCAGATAATCAGTCATAGTGACTGTAAAGTAAAAAAAGAAAGTGTAAGCATCAGTATATGATCCCTTAGCTTTACATATTGACATAGTTTTCATATCGCCTATGTACTTTGCCAGCATAATGGAATTATGGCTTTTGGTTTTGGTGTTTCACCCCAAGCTTTTCAGTGGCCCCACCCATCCATCCATTCACACTCAATTAACCTATCCCCAATCTGCATGTCTTTGGACTGTGGGAGGAAGATGGAGTACCCGAGGAAACCCACGCTGACACAGGGAGAACATGCAAACTCTGCACAGAAGGGCTCCCTCCTGGGATTGAACCAGAACCCTCTTGCTGTGAGGCGAACCACTACACCACCATGCAGTCCCCCCCCCATCTGGCCACCCTGAGAATTTTCTGGGGGCACCACTGGACGAATGATCAAATTATTTAGATTGATGAATTGATTGATTAGATTGATGTCCCTTTAAGGTCGAGTATGGCAGCTGAGGACCAACACAAGGTCCTAATGAGTGCCCACATGTTCAGCTGTCCTGCTCTGCCCTCGGGCTGTTTTATTTCTCGCCAACTGAATCACAACCATCTGAAGAAATAACGCTATTCCTTTGTCCCTCTGTCTCACAAACACTTTTAGCTTATTGCTCAAAACATGGGCCTCAACCTTTGTCTTACATTCTCTGCACCTCAGCCCAGCTTGTGTATTTTCATTGACTCAACTCCAGCATGTAAACACAGGAAATGACACGCATGCCAACATCTGCAACGTTTTTGCGTTGCCCCCCTTCCTCTGTGTTGGTGGAGACAGAGAAGCTGGGAAGTTGAACACAAAACATGGTGCTGTTTGTGTGTGTGTGTGTGTGTGTGTGTTGATAACTCCAAACCTCTGGGCATTTCATGTATATCTCACACAAACACACAAGGAGAAACTCTCGCCAGTGTCACAGCTGTGAGACACTTAACACACTTTCCCATGTTGCATTTGTTGCTGCAGGAATGTTGTGTTGTCCTCCTGCTCCCACACAGATGCATCCCAAGCTGGACTGTTTCGCCCTGGCTGAGCATCACCGAGGCTTCTCCCTCTGTCTTTCCTCAAACCCAGTCATCCCCTTATCGTCTGCACCCTGCACACACAAGAAAGGCATGGCACGGTGCCCTGTTTCCCTCTATAAACACGCACACGCACTCCAACAACACACACACACATCTTCCCAGCCCGCATATAAAGCAATCTCTCTCTCTTTCTCACACACACACACACACACACACACTACGTGCACACGCACGCACGCCTCAGTGAAAGCCTCTCACATTCCCACAAGCGTACAAGCGCTTTGGAAGAATTGGATGGAGCCGCCGCGTCTCTCTCCGGCTCAGAGGAATAAAAACACGCTGTACTCGCCGGTTTACAACGTTTTTCTTAAAACGCAACAACTTGCTGCTGAGATTTCCCAACAAAGAGCTGCATCTTTTGTCTTCTCTTTGACGCAAAATCAAGTTTTTGGACGCGAATATCAGGAGCGAGTTTTACGCAGGAGGGACTTCACATCAGCGGCTTTTGTTGTCTGTTTCCCTCCAGTGGAACAAGGAATATTTTTTTCCGCTGGGGGAATTTACAAGCAGAGTGTTTACGACTTTAAATAGACGGAATGTTTTTAAGGATTTTCCTTGAGTCGTAATTAGGAGCGTGTTTCGCCGCCGTCATTGTCCGGAGCGCGCAGTCTCTCCATTTGGCGGAAAACGTGTTCGGCGCTGAATAAAGTCCGGACACTTTGAAGAAAGCCCACTAACCCATTGAACTGCTGTTGTATGAATTTCCTCCGGCATGGCATTCAGTGGAAGTAGCCTTCAAAGTGGAAGATGGCTCTTTACTTTGCTCCAGGTTACAGCCTAATCCCCCCGCATGCCTAATGGCACAGTGACAGACACACACTCGGCTCTGTGCAAAGGTAAGACCTGAGCTATGTCTCCAACTCTTAAACAATCCAAGCTGACAGTCTGTCTCTTTATTTACATCCATATTTAATGACGTGTCGTTTAATATTTGATGAACAAGGAAGTTTATCATGAGGCATCAGCTCATCTATCAGCAGCGTTTTAATGTGACTGACGGTGTTTAGAGATAGAGCAGCGTACTGTGTGCTCTCCTGTGCATGTGTGTGACTGTTTTATTTGTTAGTGATTTACTGTGGAGGGAACATCATGATCTGTTCATGGTGTCATGGTTGGGATGATCACTCCTCTGTGCCAGCCCGCTGTCTCCTCATTATAATTAACTACTTCGTAGCCTAACAAGACACCATATCAATATTCATGCATTAAAAGCAGGGTCAAAGGTCACAATTAAAGGATCAGTGGTAATTTTCAATGTACACTCAACAGGATTTAAGACATGCAGTATAAAATATTCTGGTAAGAAGAATACTTTGTGTTTTCTGATGCCAAAAAGCTTAAAATACTTAAAACTGCATTGACTTTTACCGTCAGGACAAAAAATCAAGACGTCTCCTTATTGTAAAGTCTATTCTCTGTGTATGTGCACTCGAGGATTTAAGTTTCCACATCACACTAGGGTACATCTCATACTGGAGAATGACTGGCTTCTAGTTGTGATGTCACAAACTCCTGCGTGTCCGACACTCAGATTTAAGGTGAGCGCAGAGACACGTAATGAATGTGTAAACAGCCTTTTCAAACCAAGTTCAGACCAAAGATTCGTGATGAGACAAAACTGTTTTAGAACGTTGCAGAGAAAAGTGTCAGCAGTGTGAACTGGCCGTCTGAGCTCGACTCAAGCCGGCTGATGGTGTCACCTGACACTCAGCTGGTCAAGTCAAAATGGCTGCAGATGGCGTGTTAGCTTGCTGCATCAGGTGCTCCAACCCCGCCAAGCTCTCTGTTCTTGCTGGTGTCGCACACTGGTTATTTACACTATTGTGACGTACTGATTATGAATACAGTCCATCTGATGCTGGTTTTGTTTCATCACTGTAGCCAGTATCTCACTATCACTATCCTCATTCAGATTTTAAGAAGCTACAAATTATATTCAGCCACAAAATAAACCTGAAAAGCTGCAAATCAGAACGGAAGTACAGAGAGTTGTTGACTAGAGATGATACACCGTCTCGTGGTGGTCACTTCCTGTCAACGTTACACATCAGAAGCACAGAGAGTTGTTGACTAGAGATGATACGCCGTCTCTTCTAGTTGCATTGGTGTGAGCTGGTAGGTCTTTAGAACGTTGCAGAACGGCACATTGCAAGTAGTTGCACGTTTCAACTTGTCTCGCTGCGAATCTGGTCTGAACTGGGCTTCAGACAGGTTCAGATCAAATAGTTCTGGGGACTCGCTCAATGGAACGGCCCACTGGAGAGCTCACCCAAGGATACAGGGTTTTTTTTTTTTCTGTTTGCATTCGCACAGCCAGTAGGAGCGCTGAGGTGATGTACTGTAGGCCAGACAGCGGTTAGTAAAGCATCCTCACCTTCGCTTCAACAAGTCAAAATCACTTATTTCACCTATGTGGTACATATACTCAGTGAAGCCTGGACGTCAATGTCGGATCATTTGTCCATGTTTTCTTCCTTTTTTTATTTAGAGCTGATGTGTTTTGTGTCGTCTGTTGTTTACAAGGCTAACAGGTGTTGAAAAATGCCAGTTGCTGGTGTTGCATTGGCTGTGTTCAACCAGTCACCATTTGAGTCATTCAAAGTTATTCCAGTCTGATAACATCTCTCTTGTCACCCTCTGCACATACTTCGTTCTGTAGAGTTAAGGTCAAACACTGAAGTGGACTAACAATAAGCAAAACACATTTTTTAAGTGGAGGGAGGCTTTAACCACAGATGCTCTGTCTCTGGTTTTATTATCTTCAGTGTGATTTACATGTCGGAGAATTAGGAGTAACTGTCACCTTGAGCGCCGTTTGAAGAACAGGGGTGAGTCACTGAGCCAATTGACTCTTTGTTAGACATCTTTCATTGCCAAACACTTTACGCAGAAATGCATCTGAGTTTAATTTGAGTTTCATTAAGAAGTCAGGCGACATATCAGCTAATCCTCCTTCACACATATCCAGTAACTGGATAATCCTGTTTATGCACCCCTCTGGGAGGTCAGCAGTTCCTTCACTCCCACAGAGATGTGCAGACCCACAAACCACCACCTGATAATAATCCAGCAGACCCCCATCTGAGGAAAATATTCAGGTTTATCTGATTTAAGATGTGACTCTTGTCTCCACTGAGAATGTTCTAAAGGACAAATTAAATAAGAACGGTTTATGGAAAATCAAATATTGCTGAAAATTAAATCACTGTCGAGAGTTGGCCTCCAGAATCCAAACATGGACTCCATAAAGGTCCCAAGACGCCAGTTTAGGCGCCGCCGCTGCAGAGCTGTTGGCAGGCATGTGACTGGCAAAGGACAAAATAACAGATAAAATACAGATCCCTCCCAGGCGCCTGTCAAACCTGCTTCATACTTTTTGCCCTAGAAGCACAGCTGTGCCGTTAGCTGGTGGCCACAGCTGCTTGCACTGTGTACCAGCCATAGACTGAATAAAACAGTGGACCTTTTTCCGTGACGTCACCCACTGGTTCGTGGACTTGCGTTATAAAGCCTCCAGGGCGGAGATTAACCTTAATGTTAGCTGCTAGCTTGGTAAAGATGGTGCATTTACAGCTACAGTTAACTGTGCTAATGTTAATGCTAATTTTTCGCTAGCCAAAAACAGGCTTCAAGCCATTAAAACAAAATGTACATACCAGAAGACTGAACATCTGACTTCTTAGAGGGTCTTTTTACACAACCAAACATTGACGAGACTTTTTTAGGCAACCATAACGTTGTCATTATCTAACATGAACTGAAAACACAATGAAATAGCATTAGCGTTAGCAGTACCAACGGTGATGGCTAGGGCTCTACCTATAATCTGCGAATCTGAGGTTACACCATGGTTATGTTATCTTACCAGCCGACATCACCTGTCACTCAAAGCGACCAGGCCCTTAAATATGTGTACATTAAGCCTTAATAACAGTTAAACGGATGAGGTATAAAAATTCATCCTCCGTACAGCTATCATGAATGTAGACATTAGCTATAGACACCAAAACTGTTGTTTGTACCAGGCTGTAAACATGTTTATTTCCGTTGTAAGGTTGGGCATTTTAACATGTGGGTCTATGAGGACTGACTTGCTTTTGGAGCCAGCCTCAAGTGGCCATTAGAGGAACTGCAGTTTTTGGCACTTCTGCATTGGCTTCATTTTGAAGGCCCGCAGGCTGTCTCTTTGTACCTAGCTGTTTACTTAGCTTGTAAAGTAACATTACACCAAACAACGCATACATAATTCTGCCACAAATCCCACTTGCTCCCACAGCTGATCGCCGTTTGAATGTACAATTTTACTTTCAAGCAGTGCTAAACTGGAGGCTAGCTAGCTGGTGCTCATCCCACTTAATGGTGCCAACTATTTATTGCCGTTTACCAGCCTGTTGGCTCTTTGGATGCTGGTAACTTTGGAGTTTCATTTTAACTGACTGCAATTTAAACATTTTATTAGTTTACACCAAACAACACACATGATTCCACTAAGCAGCAGTTTCCAGTACAATCCTGATTATGTTATTTATTTCTGTGTTCTTCTTCTCCCTCTCTGCATTGTTTCCCTTCTTCTGGATTATTTCATCTTTGTATTGTTTTTTTCCCCTTTGTTTTGTTGTTGTTGTTCTTTGTAAAGCTTCTTTGAGTATCCAGAAAAGGGCTGTATAAATCAAATGTATTATTATAATTATTATAGCCCATAAAGAAATCTTTAGACACTGCACTCTTTAGAAATCCTAGTGATTTCACTGGGGTAACTCATAATGTCCACCCCCAAAACAGTATTGTTTTTACAGATTGGCATGAGTCATGTGTGTCACAGTTTAAGGTTGGAAATCCTGTAATTTAAGATTAATCTTGAAAAATCACATCCTCGAGTTGGGGACATCTCGTACCTCAAGATGAGTGTGGGTGACTAAAACCCCGAGACTGAGGAGGCAGAATGAGTCACTTTGCTAGAATCAACAGGGGGATCACTCCAGCACACACACACACATACACACACATACACACACACACACACACACACACACACACACACGTCTGGCATGAGCATCTGATGATTCAATTCGAACCTTAATTCAATTGAGTAGAGCTGAATATATCGCAGAGGCAATGACACTGATTCAGTGTGAAGGATGCGAGACTTTAAAAAAAACAAAAACACTATGTATCATCAAAATAATGAGGAAGAAAAAAACAAACAAGATGGTGAAGAGGGTACAGGATTTGACACTCGAGTGCGTGCATCAGTAAATGTGCTGCCGAAAGGTCAACGGGAAAACACAAAGTGACATATTCTCTAGACAGATGACTCACCGGTGACCGCGAGTCTGTAGGAGTAAAGCAATGCAGAGACACACGCTCGCTATCTGTTTATCTTTTGCTCATTCTTGTTCCTCTGATACAAATTACACTTTTTTCACTTTACTGAGCAGCAATCAAAGAAAATTGACTTCAAACACTTTTTCAAACCAAAAAAAAAAAAAAGAATCAGATGGCAGTCTGCTTCTTTAAAGAGCTACAGGAAGGACAGAGGTTTCAGTCCGGATGTATCAGGCTCACACAGAGGTCTGATTACTCAGGAGCCAAACTCGGCCAGACCCAAACTTACAGGTATCAGATTTAGTTTCAGTCAATTCCGTGACTCAATCCTAATAGTGCCGCAGCAGAAAACAAGATGTTGAACACTGTGAGCCAACTCAGCGCTGGGAAATGTGATAGCTGCGTGGTTAAAGTTTGTTTTAACGAGACATTTTCTCATGTTTTATCACAAAAGCCCCAGCACAGGTGTTCTCACTTTGCCTGATTAGACCTCTTTCAGGACCTTGTGTGA